CTTCACTCGCCTAAAAATCGTGAAAAATGAAGCCTGTTCCGAAGACTTCCCTCTCCAATTCAATAGGATTTACGTTACACTAGAAATATTTTAGCTAAACTTAAGCCGAATACTCGTAGACCATTACTATATATGCAAAACAGTCAGTCATACTTCATCTGTACAGACTCTCGATAACGATTATAGAGTTTCGATGGCAAAGCTTATGATTTTTGGTTTCTTTTTGAAAAGTTTAACAAAGATCTAAAGAGAGTTAACGTCAAAAAGTTACTTCTAATTGCGCAATAGTTCTTTTGTACCGGCTCCACGTTATTGCCGCAGGTCGAATTAAGTTTGGTTTCACTTCATTTTGCTTCCAGAACGTTCCAAAACCAGAGCTTAATTACTTCAGCAGCTCCAATGATGGACCGAAACGGTAAAATATATATGATCACAGCAAGGGTATCATTCCTTACAATTTGCTGCGAAAGTCTCTGTTCAACGTTCTTTAATTTTTAAACAGTCTCATAGTTTGAATAAGCGACATGGAAGCTTTCCTCATTATTCGATCCTATCATGTAACTGAACATGCCATTTTTTTATACAAAGTAAAGGTTTTTTGACCGCGTGTAGAAATACGGCAGCTGATTGCATTATTTTTCTTACCGTTTGGAACTCCTGACTCAGGCAGCAAACGTCGAAGATATTAAGTCTTTATAAGGTATCATTTGAGCTTCCGCTGGAATGACGAAGGGAAACAGGCTGCCAAAACGAAAGCGGAATGTTTTAAGCCGTGACGACTATTTTTATTTTCATCATTATTCCTTTCAAATATGCATTACTGACCAAGCGTGAAGTCAATACGACTGGATATATATGGCCAAATTCCTATTTTTGCATTTTGTTAGACTTTCTAAAAGTCCTTTATTTTTTTCCTGGTTGGTTATGCCACAAGACTTCTTCGCTCGGTCGCTGCGCGACCTCACTCATTGAAGCTCCCTTCGCTCACTGTTAAGAACTTATGAGAGGTCGACTTGTAGCAAGTCTAGCATTTTGTTTATCGATACGAAGTCGGGGCCAATGAAAAAAAGATCGACGCCAATAGACGCCACTTGCTCTTCTCCCATAATGCACCTAATTTGTCCCCCAAAATTTTGCATAAGCATTATTTTCAATTTGTCTTAGGACGGCTGTAATATCCAGGAGAAATAAAAAACAACCTAAAGGTTATGCAAAATTTTGGGGGGCAAATAAGGTGCATTATGGGAGATGTGCAAGTGCAGCGAATCCAGCTATTTTGATCGAATAAACTTGGTCAATAAAGAATTTATTTTATTGCCAAATTATCGTGGTTTTGATTCTCAGCCGTTTGTCTTGCTCTTATTTAGTATTTTACGAGTAGGCAGGGCCACCAAGACTCTAATTTATCTCAGTTTCTAGTTTACCCTTCCCATAGTCCTTTGCGTTAACGCTAAACGTTCCCATGGTCTTTTTTTCTTTTGCTCGCAACCCCACGAGCAACTAACTGTTAAAGCAACTGACGAAGGAAATCATTTTAGATTTCCGAAACCGGTCTTGCTATTTAAAACAGTTCTTAAATTAACCGCCCCCTGGTTGGCTCAGTTTGGAAAGCGCCGGTCTGCTCACACTGTTCACAGTCGCCTACTTACCGAGTATAGCCTAAGGATGAGTATTAAATACACTTAGGAAGTGGGGGAAGGTTGAACCCGATGCATACACCCTCGGTACATTTCAAAAGCAAGATGGCCGCCCGTAACGGTAGGTGCTCGGTCTCGACAATCTTACGGGAGAAAAGGGAACTGTGAACAGTCTAAAAGATCTTTTGGTAGCAGATCCTCTTCAGTCATTATCTGTACCGGGATAAGATTTCAGGAACTTGTACAGTCAAACTTCACTTTACGGACACCCGCTTAATAAGGACACCTCATTATTACGGACAGTTTGCTTTGTCCCTGGGGAAAGAAAGCCCTAACATTTTCTCTAAATTCAACCCACTTAATACGGACACCAAATATGGCTTCCTCAGTGTCCGTATTAACGGGGTTTGATTGTACTGGCCCAATATAAACGCACTGCGCATGCGACCAGCATTTTAGGATTGAAATAGCATGCGTCATTGAACGTTTCAAATGACGTCACGGAAACCATATTGGTGTTCCTAAACAATAAAATGGCGGCTATGTTGGTGTTCCGAGCAATTCTTGTGGGAGTTGAGCTCTTTTCTTATGTAAACACTTTCTTTTGTTCCAATGAATTTTCCATAGATGCTGGCTACGTGAGTGAAAACGCTCTATTGGTAGTAATAACGCATAACTTGCAATTAACGCTGACATTTTTTGACTAAACTAAGAATGGGTTAACATACAACCCAAGGTAAAAAGATCTGTTATTAAAGCGACTTAATCTGGCGCGCACGTGAAGATTAAGCGAGGATGGACGAAACAAGAGACCTTCTCGCGCGTACATCTCAGCTCTGTGGTTTAAGCGACAGATATAGTTTCCCTTTGATGGTTTTCTGTTCGGGTTGTATCTTTCTAACAATAGCAGCAAGCTTTTCACGGTCCCATCATTTGACAGGCCCGTTCGTTTGCTCCTGAACTTTTGCAAAAGGTCCTTGCTGGTCATGGGCTTTCTTGTGAGGTACCTTCTCAAGGCTTCTTCAGTGATTCCCTGAGGGCCTTCCTCACTACCGGTCGGTGTTGGGGTGCTTGTTCATGAGCCTCCTCCTGCCCCTCCCGCGGGATACATGCACACGAGGTTTTTTGCTTGCTGGACTTCCCTCTTCGCCTGGTGTACCTTTTTTACTTGTGCTTGCTGGACGCTTCTTTGATTTTGCTACAAAGACCCAGACAATTCCAAAAATTGTTTCAACACTGGGAAGAAGAAACTGATCGGGAACAAATGAAACAACATCCAAAATGCTAGTTTGTAAAATTCTCTATTCTCGAATTCCCTATAATACACTCTGTTTGCCCCCCAAATTCTGCATAAACCATTGTTTTGAAATGCTCCTGGGAGTACTGCATTTTCCCAAGAGCATTTGAAGACAATAACTTATGCAAAATTTGGGGGGTAAACAGAGTGTATTATGGGGGATTCGAAAATAGTCAATACTGTGAAAGAACTAGTACCTGACGAAGGTTTTGCTAAATAGGTTTCATCTATATGGTCACTCCATACAATTTCATCTGCGTACCCTGAAAATAGTGGGGATATACTTACAGGAAGTCCCTGGTCTGTCCTGACTCAGCTTTGTAGTAGCAGCTGTAGCAATGGTATTAGCAGCGCCGTCTGTAGAAAATTGTAGGGTTTGATGAACGGCTATTTGAAGAGGTGCTAGAGCAACTCCCAGACTTCTTCTTTTTCTTTTACTCACCTTTAGAAACACAAAATACATTTGAGATCATATACGAGCAAAACACACTCAAGATAATCAATATTTGTTCAGCATTTTGTAATTAAGTTTTTTCGCACTTAAGGCAAATTTCCTGCCTCAACGCTGTGACCGGCCACATGTCAAACAACTAAAAGTGAAACAAGTCGTAGCATTTTCCGCGCTATGCCACCTGCAAGTCTTTACTCTATATTGTGATTGGTTCATTTAATTAATTGCCTCTCATGTGATTGGCCAGAGCGATCCCCTTTGTAGCATTTGACTTACAATAGCCTTTCTTTGGATGATCGTAATCGCCTCGATTTCTGCCTTGTCAAGTGACTTGCACGTAAGGTGATCGGTCAGTTTTGTAATTCTACGTCACTTCGCTGTGTGAGTGGCCACATAGGGAAACAAGTCGTAGCATTTTCCCCCGCTATGCGACCGCCGCGTCTTTGTTCTACTCGTGATTAAGCAAATCGGACTCCCGCTACGCGGTCGTCTGATTTTGTTTATCACTCGTATGATTACAGACCGAATTGGACTCCACTCAGTCTTAATACCATTATCAACGGGCTGCCTGGGTCCACTAGCCTCTATGGTTATTCCAGGCAGCCAGTACTCTAGTTTTACTTTCAATACTTTCACTGTTGTAATTTGTGAGTACAAAAAAAAGATTGTTGTTGCGCCATGATTTCTAACCTTGTAAAAACAAAGCAGAAGTTCCCTTCATTTCATCCCCGCCCGGATCTTCTTCGTCTTCATCCTCCTCCCAGCGGGGGGGTTCACGGTCATAAGCTAATATATAGATTTAGCCAGCCGAATGCTGATTGAATTCTAAAGAAGTACTGAAAGGCGCTGGTGGCATATTTTTTTTAATTTACAAAACATCCAACACTTTCTCGGTTTTTACTATTTCCCAGACTAAATCCTTTACTAGCACCTGAATATTATCCTTTAAGTGCTTTTTAGTTAATCTCATTGACCTTCAGATTAATTGTCATTTACCAAAGTGTCCAAAATATACATGCACTACATCATTGCGCTTATTATTCTGACTTAATTTCGGCGGATATTTACAAACAGCGCAAATGACAGAACCCAAAATGTAATTTTCGCCTGTTAATTGGAATAAGTACTGAAGATTGTGAATTTGCATGAATAAAAAAAAACGAAAATAAAGGATCAGTAAATTTAGCGGAAATGTGGCTTCTTGCTACAGAAACCGGCTTAAGCTCCGGATTGATCGAGCACTTAGCTCGCCTACGGGCTAAACCTTATCTTACACCCCTAAAATCGGACAATAATCAGTCACTACAATGCCTAATTCAGCTTTCGCAGAGTATGGTACCGGACAAAAACAAAAACAAAAATCTTACTCAGCAAAAAATTTTGGCGTAATCCTGCTTTTCTTCCTTATAGCTTACAGCAATTGTTTGAAGGCTTTTTGAGTCGCTAATGCCAAATTGTTTTGATACCAACACTTATTGTAATACAACTGCAATTTTAAAATACCATGTCCGTCTTCCTTAAATACACGGCATTAGCTGAGTAACCCTCAAAACTCGAGCGGAAGGCGTTCAGCACCATCCTAGAAAATACTGAGATAGACGAAAAAGCGTTTATCATGGGCCCAAACGAAACAGAAAGAGCGACCATATTTCCTAACAGTACCAGGTCAGTGTTTTATTGCCCACATGATCCACACTTAGTTTGGGATTTACGTGCCACCACGTCTCCATGGGTTTTGGCCGCTGTCGCATCTATAATCTCTCCACTTGCCGTTCTTTTGAACGCGTTAATAATCATAGCAGTAAAGCAAAGAAAAGAACTGCAGAGAGCTTCCAATATCTTGTTATCAAGTTTGGCCGTTACAGATGTTCTAGTAGGAAGTTTAAGTATACCGTTATCTGCCGTGGTTGAACTGTTAGTTACTCGTCAAGTACAGGCTGACCATTCCATTTGCGTGTTGGACTTTGTAGCCATATCGTCCACGGTCTTTCTCGCGATTTGTTCGTTTTTCCATCTGACAATGATTGCTTGGGAAAGGTACGTAGCCATTCGAAAATGGATTGACTACAAAGTGATGGTGACTAAAGGTCGTATGAAAAAGCTGGCGATAGTAGCTTGGGTATTAGCAATTGTAACTGTATCACCAAACTTTATCACGGCACCGCTCACAGGAATGATGAGGGCGAATGAAGGGGTTTTAGCTCTGGAAATTTTCCTCATTGTCCTTTCAGTTTTGCTAATGTCTGCTTTAAGTCTTATCGTATATTTTTATGTCATGGTGTACCTTGGAGTTCGCAAACGCAAATTAAGTCAAATTCTTCAAGTCAGCGAGTTAGTGAAAGTAAGACAGGAACGCAGAATAGCTATGACCGCTGCCGTGGTTACGATTGCTCTGATTCTTTCCTTCATGCCAAGTATTCTTGGCGGTATGTTGCAAGGAATTTATCCAGTCTTTCGTCAACGTTTGGCGATGCTTGTAGCGGACATATTTTTGTATCTAAATTCTGTAGCTAATCCACTCATTTACTGCTACAGAGATCGCCGTTTTAGGAACGCCGTGCTCGAGATTTTGAAGGGTACAGGGGCACCCAACGAGGATGTAGTTCAAAACCAGTTAACATAGCATTGGTGAACATATTTTAGTATTTAAACGGTAGATATAGGCATATTTTTAACCCCTAAAAACTTTTCATCTGTTCGGATTTTCTAGCTGAAAGTCTAGTGATCCGAAAATTATAGGGATCAAAACTTACCTTTTCGAAAATTTCAGCCAGGAAAAGGCTCCCGAAAATTCTAGGTGGCCTTTTTTAGGGTAAAAATCCGTTTAAAATGGGTAATTATACCATTTTGTAGATGTTCGAAAATCCTAGGAGAGGCAGGCAAGCTAGAAATTTTACAACAAATGTTCCGAAAATTCTAGATCTCAAATCGTCTTCCGAACAGATATTTTCCGAAACTTGCCGTTAGGTGCCCCTGAGGGTAGGAGACCTAAAGAAAAGCCGTCTGTTGTAACTGATGCATCAAGATTCCGCAACGTCAAACATAACGATGTCTTTGGCTCAGGGAAAGATACGCTACAGATGCGAAAGGTGGAAAACCAAGTTCGTTTAACAAGATCAGCATCATGTGATTTGACTCGACCCGTAGATCGAGCTTATCTCGGCACTCACAAAATACGCTTAACAAGAAGCAAGTCATCTCTCTCTCTCCCATGACAGTTTCTTCGAAGATATTTAATTTTTCATTTTATCTTTACCCAAATCACAGGCGGCCCAAGCTCAGCCATGTGTGAGTTTAATCAGTAATCAATCATATAGTCACATTGCATAATTTAAAATGGCCGTGAATATAAAGGATTTGTATGGGAATTCAGGTAAAAGATTCAAGTAGATAAATACTCGCTAGAATGTTCCAGTGGAAACTCTGGGTAAAAGGAAATCGCCTAAATCGCAATGGATTAGGAAAATAACCACACAGCAAGCAAAAACAAACAAATTTAATAAGGTAAGCTGTATTTTATTGAACATTCTAGCGAGTATATATCTACTTCATTCCCATACAAATCCTTTATATCCACGGCCATTTTAAATTACGCAATATGAAACTACATGTATTAATGATTAAACACACTGAGCTACGGCCGCCAGTGCCCAAATATTTAGTCAATTGAAACCAAACGTCCAGCAAATGTCCAGGAATGGCAAAACATCTACTTACGGTTGAGGTGCACCTTTGCCAATATGACGATCTGAAATAGCCCCAGGGGGATACTCCAGAAAATTTTATATGGGGAAGCTTCCCCTAGGGGACGAACCCCCTACCCTTGTTATATACCATTTGTTGACAGAAAAGGTACCCCATTCTTTTCTTATACCTTTCAGTGATAAATGGCCGCACCCCTTACGCAAATTTAGTTTAGAGCTTTGCATCCCTTTTCACTACTGTAAACGCACTTTCTTTTTAAATGGCTTAAAAAATAGAATTAAAGTCAAAAAGACTACTGCAACGACTGATCAAACAACGTCAAAAAGGCTGAGGTATACAATATTTCGACTAGCCAGTACCAGGTATTGGTGAACCTGGTGAAGACTGGTATTGGCCAGTTCGAAGACTTTGAGGAGTTTAAAGAAGAGGCACTTTCTTAGTACGCGAATGTTTGAGGCAAATCGTAGCCCAGTTATGCTTACCAAACTCCATACAAACCCTTCTAAATTTTTTTGGGGTCGACCCAAAAAAAAATTAGAAGGGTTTGTATGGAGTTTTCTGAGTATAACTGGGCTACGATCTCAGAGACAATTTGCCGCGAAATGGTCATTTTTGGCAAGTAGGCCTCTTGGACATTGTTCTTTCAGAATATCCTGACAAATCCCATAATTTCAGAAATTTCATTTTTATGACGTCACAGTTTAGTACTCTATTGGTCAAGCCAGTTGTTTGATCTGCGCGCGCCGTCGTCAACCGACGTTCCCGTTCTGTTGCTAAATCAGCCTATTATCTCAGCGACCTGAGAGAGGATAATGAAACACACTCTTTATGCTCTCTTGCAACAACTTAACACTTTTCCAAAATATATCTGTGTTCAGAAGAAGCAACCAATGAATAAGGCCTTGGAAACCCGGCAGCCGGCAGACGGAAGTCAATATAAGCACACTTAAAAACTGTTCCCGAGACCCCAAATAGAACCCAAATTTATTATGCAAAAAAAGCCCTCTGTGAAGGCTCCTCTCTATACAGAGATACAGGGAAAATAGACACTAAAGGGGTGAATTCATTGTGATATCCTATAATGCAAGCCCTCCACACACACAATCCCTCCACCATAGAGAGGAGAAAATAGACACTGAAGGGGTGAATTCATTGTGATATCCTACAATGCAAGCCCTCCACACACACAATCCCTCCAGCATAGAGAGGAGAAAATAGACACTAAAGGGGTGAATTCATTGTGATATCCCATAATGCAAGCCCTCCACACACAATCCCTCCACCATAGAGAGGAGAGGTGTGACCTCAGGTTACCATGGTAACCAAAATTTCTGGATCACATTAATAGGGAGCTACAGCAACAACGACGGGGACGGCAAAGAGATTGGCAAAAAGGCAATAGGTTAAGGGCCTGTTTTACATGGGGTTGGGGGACCCCAGGTGGGTGGGGTAACCCGTATGCCCATATAATCTCTAATTTTGATTTGATCATGTTTACATCATGGGTACCCTGGCTCCAGAGGTCCGTTCCCAATATACCTAATATGAAATAAACGAACCATCAATATCCATAAGAAAAAATATCCTCTGGAACCCAGGGTACATGATAGGTGGAGTGACCCGCCAAGGCGGGTAGCCCGGTCTTCCAGACCGGGTAACCCTCCAGCCAGGGTCACATTTTGCCATGTAAACATTTCAAGATGGGGTAGGTGGGGTAACCCGCCTAGCCGAGCTCGGATTCGTAAAACATCATAATCGCGCACAATTCACTTAATTTGGCGGTGGCTTTGCATCATTATTAAAGGTAACAATATAGAAAGCTACAGCACTGAAGGTTGCAGCAAGAGCAGCAGGTGAATGTGGAAGAGCATTAATGGCCCAAACAGGTGCTTTGTCAGCCTTTTTTTTCTTGTTTACGTGCTTAGCAACCATTCAATAATCTTGACAAAGTGCACCCCGGGATGGCGGGGTTGTAAGATTGCATGTAAAGGAGGACGATTTTTTTACCCCACCTAAGCGGGTTACCGCACCTACCTGGGCAACCTCGTCCCCAGGGCTTTTCCCTCCAAAAAAAAAAACACCCATTGTTTGAGGGAAAAGCCCTGGGGACGAGGTTGCTACCTGGGGTCCTTCAATTCCATGTAACAGGCCCCTTATATTAGAAAACAACTTTGCATGTGCATCACGCTTTTTTGTACATTTCTTAGCCGTCGTTCCACGACTGGAACATGAAACTTCCTAATTTCACCTACCCACGGTATTGAGTAAGTGAACACAACACATTTTTTATTTTATTTTCTAAACTTACATACGGTCCTTTCGATTCAACTCCAGAAAATTTCGCCAACATTTGACAAGTTAAATGAAATTGAAGAAGATCGATAAAGTTTTAAACAGTGCGAATTCACTTTTTAAGTGACGTTTCCGTTTCTTCTCATCTAGAAATTTTGCCACCATGGCAACGTGATGTAACAACTTCTCCTCTCTTTTCACAACACTCATAATGATATGCGTAGTTCAAATACACCTAATAAACAGGTTTTGCGTGGCTAGTCAAACGGTTTCGCGTGCGATTACGTAACTCCTTAAGATAAATAATGATTTCGCGTGGAAATCACTGATTCGTGCTGAGTTCTCAGCGGAGCCACGCGGGGTGAACGGCCCATGCACCCTTCCACCCAGAAAATCGCGTGGGTCGTATTACTAACTACCCCTGAGCCAAGCTGGGACACCTTGGCTTAGTCGATCTGCTGATCAACCATTTTTCCGTACCTTAATACAACTGAGCGTGAATATTGATGTCGTTGAATAGATTACTATTGCTCAACTGGCGTTTCCAGGGCTGATTGAATTCTAAAGAAGTAAAGGCGTTGGTGGCATTTTTTTTAATTTAGAAAAGATCCCATAGTTTCTAGGTTTTCACTACATCCTTCACTAGCACTTGAATTTGATTCTTTAAGTGCTTTTTAGTTAATCTCATTGATCTTCAGATTAATTGTCATTTACCAAAGTGTCCAAAATATGCATGCACTACATCACTTACGCTTATTATCCTGACTTAATTTCAGCGGATATTTAAAAACAGCGCAAATGACAGAACCCAAAATGTAATTTTCGCCTGTTAATTGGAATAAGTACTGAAGATTGTGAATTTGCATAAATAAAAAAAAAACGAAAATAGAGGATCAGTAAATTGAGCGGAAATGTGGCTTCATGCTACAGGAACCGGCTTAAGCTCCGGATTGATCGACCACTTAGTTCGAATGCGGACTAAACCTTATCTTACACCCCTAAAATCGGACAATAATCAGTTACTACAATGACTAATTCAGCTTTCGCAGAGTATGGTACCGGACTAAAACAATAACCTCACTCAGAAAAAACATTACGGCATTTTCCTGCTTTTCTTCCTTATAGCTTATAGCAATTGTTTGCAGCCTTTTTGAGTCGGTAATTATAAAAACTAAATCTTAATACCAAATTATTTTGATACCAACACTTATCGTAATACAGCTGCAATTTTACAATACCATGTCCCTTCCTTTAATACACGGTATTAGCTAAGTAACCCTCATAACTCGGGAGGAAGGCGTTCAGCACCATCCTAGAAACACTGGGATAGATGAAAAAGGGTTTACCATGGGCCCAAACGAAACAGAAAGAGCGACCATATTTTCTAACAGTACCAGGTCAGTGTTTTATTGCCCACACGAACCACACTTAGTTTGGGATTTCAATGACACTACTTCTCCCTGGGTTTTTGCCACTTTCGCATCTATAATCTCTCCACTTGCCGTTCTTTTGAACGCGCTAATAATCATAGCAGTAAAGCAAAGGAAAGAACTGCAGAGAACTTCCAATATCTTACTAACAAGTTTGGCTGTTACAGATCTTCTAGTAGGAAGTTTATGTATACCGTTGTCTGCCGTGGTTAAACTGTTAGTTCCTCATCAAGTACTGGCTGACCATTACATTTGCATGTTGGACTTTGTAGCCATATCGTCCACGATCACTCTCGCGATTTGTTCGATTTTCCATCTGACAGTGATTGCTTGGGAAAGGTACGTGGCCATTCGAAAATGGATTGACTACAAAGTGATGGTGACTAAAAGCCTTATGAAAAAGCTGGCGATAATAGCTTGGGTATTAGCAATAGTAACTGTATCTCCACCAAACTTTATCACGGCACTCAAAGGAATGATGAGGGCGAATGAGGCGGTTATAGCTCTGGAAATTTTCCTCATTCCTCTGTCACTTTTGGTAATGTCTGCCCTAAGTCTTATCGTATATTTTTATGTCATGGTGTACCTTGGAGTTCGCAAACGCAAAGTAAGTCAAATTCGCCAAGTCAGCGAGTTAGTGAAATTAAGACAGGAACGCAGAATAGCTATGACCGCTGCCGTGGTTACGATTGCTCTGATTCTTTCCTTCTTGCCAAGTATTCTTGGCGGTATGTTGCAAGGAATTTATCTATTCTTTCGTCAACGTTTGGCGATGCGTGTAGAGGACATATTTTTGTATCTAAATTCTGTAGCTAATCCACTCATTTACTGCTACAGAGATCGTCGTTTTAGGAACGCCGTGCTCGAGATTTTGAAGAGTAAGAGACCCAAAGAAAAGCCGTGTGTTGTAACTGATGCAGCAAGATTCCGCGACGTCAAACATAACGATGTATTTGGCTCAGGGAAAGATACGCTACAGACGCGAAAGGTGAAAAACCAAGTTCGTTTAACAAGATCAGCATCATGTGATTTGACTCAAAGCGTAGATCGAGCTTATCTCTACTCTCACAAAATACGTTTAACAAGAAGCAAGTCATCTCTGTCTCTCCCATGACAGTTTCTTCCAACACATTCTTTATCTTTATCTCACTCAGTAATGATAGGTAGAGAGGCATTTCGTATGTGATAAGTCTTAACGCTAATTAAGTTTGTATTGCGTAGTGGCTTTCCTCTTTTAGAGACGTTTCACCCAAACATTTAGTGAAACCAAATGTCCAAGAATGCAAAACATCTACTTACGGCTGAGGTGCCCCTTTGCCAATGTCCCTGGGGGATACTGTAGAAAGTTTTATACAGGGAGGCCCCCCTAGGGGTCGAACCCCTACCCTTGTTATATACCATTTGTTGACAGAAAGGTTCTCCTTTCGTATACCTTTCATTGACAAATGGCAGTACCCCTTACACAAATTTACTTTAGAGCTTTGCATCCCTTTCAACTACTATAAATGCACTTTCTTTTTAAATATGAATAATTCCTAAAAGTAAATAATTTTCTGTTTGAAGTTTGAAAAATTTCGTGACAGAGCCCCTTGAACTAAAGGCCTTTTTTGAGGGACGCGCGTCAACCGGAAGTGAGGTATGCAGATTTCACAATACAGTCTGGTTAGATAAACGGCGCGCTGATGTCCAAACGAGGTGAGGCACGGACCATTAGAAAACTTATGGGGGGGGGGGGGGGGGAAAAAAAACATATTTGGGCCAAGAGAAAAAAAAAAAAAAAAAAAACAA